CTCTTTAGTTTGCAGAAGAGGAGACTGAGGGGAGACCTCATTCATGGTTATAAATATTTAAAGGGTGAGTGTCACGAGGATGGAGCCAGGCTCTTCTCGGTGACAAACAATGATAGGACAAGGGGTAACGGACACAAACTGGAACACAGGAGGTTCCACTTCAATTGGAGAAGAAACTTCTTCTCAGTGAGGGTGACAGAGCCCTGGCCCAGGCTGCCCAGAGAGGTTGTGGAGTCTCCTTCTCTGCATACATTCAAAACCCGCCTGGACGCCTTCCTGTGTAACCTCATCTGGGTGTTCCTGCTCCGGCAGGGGGATTGGACTGGATGAGCTTTTGAGGTCCCTTCCAATCCCTAACGGTCTGGGATTCTGGGATTCATGATCTGAGGCATCAGCAGCGCTGAACTCGAGTTTAGTGCCCGTTGTGCTTGTAAAGAAGGCCCTTGCGAGTGCAACACTGAACCGTTTTGGTTTCTCTTCTTGTTTAAAATTGTAGAAAGGAAGGAGGAGCCCTTTGCCAACCACTCCAGCCATGAAACCAGGCCTAGCATCACTGAGCAAATACCAGCGCCCGAGCCCAACTCCTTCACGGCATCGGCCAGAAGAGTAAGTGAATGTGGGACCAGTGGGGACTCAGCAGTGCTTAAAGCAGCGGGTTTTACTGGGAAATGAATGCTCTGAACCCAGTTTGCAGAGGAGTTGTAAGATCTGAGTTCAGGAAAGCGTGATAGCGTGTGATTTTGATACAGATGCTGTTGACAGCAGTAACGGACTGGCACAAAGGATGCGTTGGTACAATAAGGTTCCTCTTGACCCTCTGAAGCGAATTTTGTTGCTCACAGGAGAAACCCTGTGTGCCACAAGCGCTTCGTGTCGCTGTCATTTCTGAGGCAGCCGATGCCAGTCTCATATCCGCAGGAAATCTTTCACCAAAACTGGTGCCTGCTGATATGCAAGCAGAGAATTTGGCATCGTCACCTGAAGTGCCTCCAACTTGCCAGCCTCTTGACTCGGTGGCGTGATGTTATGGCCCAGCAAGCGGGGAGGATAAAGTTTGCATCTGACCAGACAGCTCGGCTACGAAAGCTTTTAAAGGTGAAGCAGAGCTGCTGAAATCTTATCTGGATTCCCCGGCTCTCGCGTCACTCGGCCGGATGGCACCAGGAGTCTCTGTGCTCTGCTTCTGGTTTCTTTTTGCACCAGAACATGGAGGACAGCTCTACAGTGCAGGCACCTTGCCAAAGCCTGGAGCACTGGTACATCTTAGAGGGAAAATGCTCCTTGCTTAGTCACATTTTGTTTAATTTTTGACCTGCTACTAAGCTTAATTTGCCATCCAGATGAAACGAAGCGGAGCTCCTCTGGGCGTTGTTCATCCCAGGCTGACTTAGCAGGGAGGTATTAAAGGCAGAAGGATACTAGAAGTGTGAGCACTTCAGTTCGCATTTTCCCAGCTGTAGAGTCTTGGTCTTGCTCATTTTTGCTGGTTAATCCCAAATAAGGCTGTTAGGGTACAGGAGAGGGCCTGTGTGCAAAGCAGTGACTAATTTGGCTTCAGCCACTTAAGATTGGCTGCGTTACCTTCTCTTCCGTGTTTGATTCGTCTGTAACTTTGTCAGATTGGGGTTCGTGTAGGACAATGTGAGTGCTTGTGTTGCCCTCCATTTGTGGAGCGATCAATATTTGCTGTTCCTGTGTTGTTCAGACATTACAGAAGGCGGCTTTTTACTGTGGATTTGAGCTGAGGAAACTACATTGAAGCGTTAGAGCTGTGTAGCTCAGTAGACTGGAAGTGCTGGAAGGAGATTAACTCTGTGCATCTGCATTAAAATAGCATTAGCTATGAAACAGTGCTAAAATACTGCAGTGATCACTTCATCTTTGCAGTCTCGAGTCAATGAGTCTGAGGGCAGAGCTCCTGGTAGCTTCGTTTATTCTGGCTGATGTCAGAGGGTTTGTGCTATGTAGAATGTGGTACAGTGGTGATTGTGCCAGCTCTGACCACAGGGGTAGGCTTTTCCTCTATGAATTCTTTTTGAGTGCCCATAGTGTTTGGGATCCTCTAATGTCCAGTGGCAAAGGGTTCATCAGCTTAATGACGTCTTGTCCAGAGCTCCCTGCACCCGTTTCTTTAAGCCTGCCATGGCTGGTTTTGTTTGCTGCCCCTCATTCCTTAATGGGAAGGAAAAGGGAATAACTGATCCTTATTCACCCTTCTGTGTGCCACTGAGGGTTTGTGGACCATGGTCATGTCTCAGCCTGCAGACTCCTGGTGCACTGCACAGCTCCTCATGTGAAATCTCCCTTGCTCTGCTCTCCCATTGCCTTTCTCTGAATCACTTCCCCTTCTTCGCTGCTGCTTTTGAGCTGTGGGTGATACCAAAGGTGTGACTGTACCCTGCAGTACCACAGAGGCATAGTGCTGTTGTGGTTCATGGTCTGTGCTTTTCCAGTAATTCCCAATGTTTTGTTTGCTTTATACAACTCGGTGCAGAGCCCCTGTCCTTGTAGAGGTACCTCTTGCAGTGCCCAGGCTCCATTCTCGAGTGGCACCAGGCATCTTTTTGTAGGACTCGATAACTATAACTGCAGTTGTCTATTTGGGCAGTTGTATGTTTGAGAAATAACACGTGCTTGTCAAAAGTGCCTCATGTAACAAAAAGCACGAAGGTCCATTCGTATATAGAAGACGTGGTTACCTGCCCATAGCAAAGTTTAAGTGAGAACAGGCCCCTCCAAGCCCGTGGTGTGGCCTCTTGCTCGAAGCAGGGCACCTCCAAGCCCATGTCCCGGTGCTTTTTGCTGCCTGAGCTCAGCTGAGGGTTGAGAAATCTCCAAGGATGGAGATGCCCACGCTTTGCTCCCTGTCCCCTGCAGTATCGCTCCTACCAGGAGCTACGTCTTCCTGCATCTCAGCTGGGATTTCCTATGTTGGAACTGATGTGTGTTCCTCCTTCCACTGCAGAGGTGAAATCTGCTTCCGTATCCTCTGTAAACCCCAACGCAAGTAGCAGAGCAATTAAATCCCTCCTTTGCCTTCTCTTTCGCATGCTAAACAAGCCAGGTTTGCTCAGAAGCTCCCTTTATGTGTTGTCTGCTCCAGCTCCCTGATGACCTCAATGACTCCTGGACTCTCTCCAGTTTGATTTGTGTGAGGCTTTTATTGTAGCTGGTCCCGAAAGAGACGATTACTTTTTTTTAGTTTTCTGCCTTTATTGAATAATTCCCCCTTCCTAAACAGATGCTAAGAAAAGCTTCATTGTTCTGTATATTCTTTCTGCAAAGCAGGAGGAGGACGTTGCGTAGGCAAGGGGAGCTGCACAACGACACAAGATTTCTTTCATCCTCTGTCCTTGGGGATGGGGGCACTACAGCATCGCTGCGAGTTCACCTTGAGCTGTGTCCTGTAATTAAAGCTAAGCAGGCAATCAAAGTCATTCCAGCTTACGTTTCCAAGCGTAGCCCAGCAAAAACTGGGGCTTGCTGAGACGCTTTCTGAACTGACATCGTGCCTTGCAGTGCTCTTCCTTCTCCCAAACATCCCCTTTCTCCGCTGCAGTTCAGTTGGCTCAGCAAGTCGGAGGAGCAGAAGGACGAGTCCCCTGCGTCGTGGCGGCTGGGGCTGCGCAAGA